TTCCCGGGATAAGTAAACCTTTTTTGATCGTTTGCCACTCAACGTTCATTCAGATATTAAGAGTGGAAAGAGAGGACTGGTGCGTAAGTAAACAAAAATGGAGAAACTGGATACAAGTTTTCCCCATAATATTGATTTTCTTTTTAAAAAAAACAGCGCCGGATCAATGATGGGGCTTATTCGACTAACTGTCAAGATACCAGGAGCATTAGCATACTTGCTAATAAGCATAATGAATGACCATAAAAATTTATCGATTTGTTTGTGTGATGTGGCTGCTGAAGGATAATGTGTGAATGGGTGGTGTTGACTTCAACAGGGTTACTTTGCATGATGATGATGAAGATGGTGAGGATGCAGAAGAGGAGGAAGTGGACAAAGTGGTGGAGGAGAATGAGGAGGTGGAAAGGTGTGCTGTGGGGAAACAGGCCTCACAACTCAGCTACCTACTCTCCAAGTCCGCGCCAGACCAGAAAAGGGCCCGGTACGTCGCCACAACATCATAACCCCCTCATTTCAACTCAACTGCTCAGGACTTGATTCACAGACTCCAGTCTCGCTTTAAAGTATGTGTATTTGTACGTGTGTGTCTGGGCTTGCTACAACACATGGCAAGCCAGCATAATTGCACATCCTAGCTCCGTATTTCTGTGGCCCGTACTCTACTCTAACTTTAGTTTAATAAGAATATTGACTTTGGGAGTAATTTATCTCTGTAATATGAGAAGTTTGACCAATAAGGTTGCTTTAGCATATTACTTTGATATAGTAAGTAGTAAATAGTTTACTTCCCTGTTATCTGTAACTAAATTTAAGAGTTGGGTTCTTACCCTATTAATGTGTTAAGCACTAGAGATTTATAGTTGTATTTTTACATAGTGGGGTGTGCGATAGACTTACCTCCACGTGGTGCACCCTGGGCAACGTATACTCATACGGCAAAAAGTCTGTTAATCGGCAGTTGAATTCTAACTTCAAACTACCATGACTCCACTGTATGCCATATTCGACTACTTTCACGGTACTCACCTCACCTTTTTCTACCCTTGTCTTTGAAATACTTCTGTTCACTCCCACCCTCTGGACTTTTTTTCACTTTGATGTGAAGCTTGAAGTCAACTAAAGGGCTAATGATGACTATCAAAACGCCTGCCATTTGAAATAAATAAATGTTCCTCTTCAATCATAATTTGATAAGGAAAATATGACCAAATATAATAGTTCTTAAATAAACACTCACTTAGTCATTGTTCATACCATTAACAATAATCTATCTTATAGTGTTACATAATGCCTATAGATATATTACTTGATTTTTGTCTTTATCTCTGATGGATGTCAGGAATTAAGTATATTTCATTACTCGGTAGTTTAATCACAAACAATTGTAACCATTTTAGTATCTCATATACCGATGTAAAGAAAGGTATTATTTGTCAACTCTACTAAGCAAGTTGATATAAACAACCAGGATTTTTGGTTCACATTCAATCCAGGGCAAGCTCAAAGACAGGAATACCTTTATTAAACATTTTTAAATTTCAGTTACAGGATTTGTCATTAATAGGCAATGATGTTTTGACCTATAGGTTTAAAAACAAATATTCATTTATTTTAAATGGCAGGCGTTTTGATAGTTATCATTAGCTCATTAGCTGACTTTGGGCTTCAAAGAAGGGAATGAACATCAAAGTAACAGGTAGTCGAGGGGGGGGAACAGAAGAGTGATTTACAGATGTAAAAGAGACAGACGGACACAAAGATAGAAAAAAGGTAAGGTAAGGTGAGTACTGTTGAAGTGGTCGAATTCGACATACAGTGGGGTGATGGCAGTTTCAAGTGAAAAGTCAACTGTCGGTTGATAGACGTTGCCCTGGGAGCCCCATGAGGAGGTAAGTCTATAGCACACGCCGCACAAACATAAATGCGAAAAGATTTCGAGCTCAGTATTGCAGGTATATACAGACCAAATCCTTTCACTAATGCATTTGTCTATGAATTTAAAGAAAGGTAAGCAAATCTTGGTTTATATTAGCTAGGTGTTCTGCGATTGTGAAGAAGAAAGCGAGGTTATCATTCTATTTTCAAACTTCGACAACCTCTGAGGTGGGATAGCATACAATTTCTAGATATGCTT